ATGTTAGAAGTCAATCTTTGAATTGGCCCTGGCACCTGATAGGCAGGCAAGCTGGGTTCTAGTAAACCACTGAGATGGTCAACCAGAATGTTTGCCAAAGTCGGAAGTTGCTACGGTTTCCGACTCTGCCTTGAGGAATACCTAGAGATTTTGGGGATGCAGCCTGAGGAGGGTGAAGCCAGGGGAGGGGGACCGACAATACCATAGAGCCCACCCTCCAAAACAGCCATTTTCTCCAGGGGAACTGATCTCTTTCACTTGGAGATCCACTGCAATACCAGGAGATCTCCAGGCCAAACCTGGAGGCTGGCAACCCTTTAAGTTGCTGCCCCCCCCCCATAACCACTTCCTTTTGTATCATGGCAAAACAGAATAACTGGGGGGAAAGCAAGAAATCAACTCTTCACAATCTCACTAGCAAGTCCCGATAAAGCACGGCATTAATTTGTAATTTCATGTTACAGGAAACTAAACAGAAGAGATGGACACCTTTGTAGCCGGATTCCCCTTTTTGTCCTGGAATTCCTGGAGGGCCCGGATCTCCCTTCTCCCCAAAGAGTTCCACTTCGTCTCTACCAATAACCTGAACAAAAGGGGAAAGGGCAAGTCAGAAGGAAACTCAAATCCCTCCATTTGACAACAGCTGTGGGCTTCCTCCTATGCTGACTTTTCTTGCCTGGTTCCCTCAGGGTTCAACAGAGGGTGTGACAACTGCCGTTTGCCATGTGCCACGGGACTGCGTATCGCACACATGGCTTTGGTGATCTGAGGTTGACAAGGGATTGTTCTCAGCACATCTGGAAGTAGTCTCAGTTGTCTGCGTATATCTAAATGAGACTAAAGGAAAACATCCCTCGCTGAGGCAATGTGAGAGGGGACAAAGACTTATCTCTCCAAAGCAACTTTATGGGCCATTGAGAATTCTGCAGTTCAGCCAATGAGTCTGCATTTTTAACTTCCCTGGTCCAGAAGAATCCATAATGTCTAGGTTATCTGAGAAATCTTCAGACACAGTCTTTAAACCATTCGCTCGAGAATGCCTTCAAGTAAATGTACTGAGGACTGCCTGTTCTTAGTCTGGTGACTTTTATTAGTTGCTCGTGTGTGGGGAAAATCATATTCTTGCAGACATACACGGCCACAGATGCACCGTCCGTTAACCTCAAACTTGAAAAGTACACCTGCAAGCTCCTTGATAAAATGAAGCCATCATCATTTAATTATTATTACTTTCTGAGGTAAAACGCTGGCTGCGCTATGAATGAACAGATAAAGCATTTCAAGTGGTGTCAACTGTTGTTGTTGTTTTTTTTAAAAAAAATGATCCCTTCATGAATTTCAGAGGTAAATAGAGCCACAGAAAAGAACACTCAAATTCTGATCACATAAAAAAAAGAAAGAAATAATCTCAACTGGATAAAAACCGGTAGATAGGGCCTCTATAAAAGTGTAACCAAGGAAACAGCATACCATGGTTATACTTCAGACATATATACCTCCCAATTGCTGCTGTTGCTCACAGTGGGAGAAAAGTAAGAATAAAAATGCTGCTAGCCTCTGTGCTGGTATGTATGTCACTTCGGGGTATACTAGGAATTGATGGAAACTTTATGGTTTTACCATAGCATTTCTATGGTTTTGCCACGGAGTCTCTGGTGATTCCTAGAGCTACCCATTGTCACTTGTAAGTGTTGTCAATGATGTCACCGACGTCACATGCCCCGTGTCCCCCCCAATCCCCAATGGGTGTCCCGCAACCATACGTTTTACACTTACAACTCCTGGAGGGCCTGGAGGACCAACTATACCCTTATCTCCCTGAAAAAAGAAAAAATGTGCATTTGTAAATAGATTAAAGGAAACTTGTTCTACACAGTCCAAAGTAAAACAAAAGTCCAGTGGCACCTTAACGACTAACAACATTTATTTCAATATGAGCTTTTGTGAGTCACAGCACACTTCTGACATGTGAAGGAAAAATCATGCTGGGAATTCTTATGGGGAAGATTACATGAGGGGGAGTTGAGGCACGGAGGTTTGGTGTGAATTCTCTCATGAATCTTTCAAGTGTAAATACAAGATTAAATAAGGGAAGAGTTGAGGTAGAAAGGTTAGGAGTGAATCTCATTATAAGGCAACAGAATTAACAGCTACACATATTGGATGATGGCAGAGGTCATAAGTTTGAACAGATAAGCAACTAAATGAAGATTATCTGATACTGGTACAAGGTTATAGTCTGATAAAACATGTTATGAACAGCTAATTAGAATTTCTTTTTTAAAAGGTCCTATAGAGCCATTAGAGATTGTAGTGAGTATGACAAAGTTTGAGTCCAGTGGCACCTTTAATACCAACGAATTTTTATTCATGATATAAGCTTTCATGTGCAAGCACACTTCCTCAGATACAGGGTGAGTATGGAAACCCAAGTCTTTGTTTAAGCCATTATTCGCTATGGTCCAGAAACACAGGGGCAAGTCATGTACAGTCACATAGCATCATAGCATACCAGCCCTCCCTCCACTGATTATTTAGCCTCCTGGAAGCCTCCACAAGGTGCTCCTCGTTGGACTATGATCAGGGGTGTCAAATATAAAGCCCGGGGGCCGGAACCGGCCCATCCAGGACTGCGATCACACACACTAAATAATCCACTTTCAATGTACCTTTGAATTGGATTTTGCCAGTTCACGCAGTAAAATCCAGTTGGAAAGTGGATTGAAAGTGATCATAGCCCAGGGCACTTATGTGGCCTGTGAGCCACTGATGCAAGGAAGAGAGTGCTGGGAGGAGTGGGCGGAGCCACTCCATCATGGCTTCAGCACGGCAGAACAACCTCATCTGCAGCAGTCAAGCATCATGGGAGCATCCGCCCAGCACTGCACTGTTGCCTCTCCAGCCCACCTATGTGGGTTTCCCTCTGCGCCTCCCTCCCAGCCCAGGGGGCCTTGCAGTGAGGATACACCAATTCAGAGCTCACCAGCTGCTGTCCTTTATATACAGTTTATATCTCCGGCACCTGGCATTATGTTTTATCGCACACATGGCCCAGCCCGACAAAGTGACACTTATGTCAGATCCAGCCCTCGTAACAAATGAATTTGACACCTCTGCTCAAGATGGCATCCAATAACATTCCACCCACCCACTTTCCATGTTTAATAGCACAGTATAGGTCAGAAATAAGTGAAATTATGGCACTAATGTTGTTGTCCTCAAAGGTCATCAAGTACTGCCCCTTAAGCGCATGGAATAGAAGTCAGAGATTAAATTCTGTTAGGCTAGTTTTGCCAAACTTTAGTCGGCTGTACCCCAGCACATTCCAGGTCTCAACTGCGAGAGAAACAAAAAAAAAAAGAGAGATTTTTAAACCTGCAGTGTGTACAGTCAAACTTTAATGGTGCTATTGCTTCACTAGGCAAATTGAACAAAGGCTATCTAAAGGTATTTCTGCATCATTGAAGGTGTCCTGTTTAAATGCTTATGCTCTGTTTCAGGGTTGTTGTTGTTTTTAAGATTTCTGTGTTTTTTTCAGGTTTCTGCAATCCAAACTCTATTGCACTGTTTTATTAGATGTCCATGCTGTTGACTGTAGTTGACTTGTACTACGTAATCCGCCCTGCGTCTGAGCGAGAAAATAAACGTATGTCTTCGAAATGTATCCACTCACCTTAGGGCCATCTACACCAGGCAGTCCTGGAAATCCCGGCGTGCCACTCAGTCCCTACAGCAATAGCAGAAAAAATACCAACAAAAGAACGTTATCACTGACTTGTTCCCTAGAACAGAACTAAGATAAATGCTGCTTTTGTAGTAACAAATGTACTTGCACAGAGTATGAATACGTCTTGCACAGGGGATCGGACTGAGCCTGAACCCCAAACCCAAAGGGTGTGTTGGGGGGCATGCTTCGTGAACCAAAGCTGAACCAGAAAGAAAATCCTTCCTTGCCTTGAATGTGAATCAAAGCGCAGTTCCTAAATACAAAATTGGCAACTGGTTTGAAGTAAGCGGGCAATTAACCAGAAGTTATTCCCCCAGGGTGGGAAGGAGGAGAAGAGAGAGAAAAAGAAGAACAGAAGAGATAATCCTGGGATGAGAAGTCATAAGAACATAAGAGAAGCCAATTTTGGATCAGGCCAATGGCCCATCTAGTCCAATACCCTGTGACACACAGTGGCCAAAAATACCAGGTGCCATCAGGAGGCTCCCCAGGACACTATAAGCCCTCCCACTGTTGACCCCCCCAAGCACCAAGAATACAGAGCATCACTTGCCCCAGACTGAGAGTTCCTATCTATACCTTGCGGCTAATAGCCATTGATGGACCTCTGCTCCATATGTTTATCTAGTTCGCTCTTGAAGCCGTCCATGCTTGTAGCCGCTGCCACCTCCTGTGGCAGTGAATTCCACATGTTTGGCAGTGAATTCCAAGTCCTCCCATCCTTGACCTAAATATTGGTTTGGATCCCATGGGGGATTTCTGCAGTGGGGCAAATTTTGGCCAATTCTCCCCCACCACACTGAACTGCAGCAATATTTTATAGGCTATTTTGGGGGGTTGAGCTGCAGTGAAGAGAGAGGGAGGGAAGAGCGACTCTGTGGATGGAAAGCCTTTCCAGTCACAGAAATCTCCAGTGGATCCAAGCCATTTCTCTTAGATAAAAGGGGGTGGGGAGAAAGAACCTAACTAAAGTCTGGGCTGATTTGGAATTTCTCAGTACTCATTTCCCAAGTGATGAACTGAGGGCAAAACAGCTCGTGATGTGGCAGATCTATAACTTTTTCTTTAAGTGATAAAAGGAGCCAAAAGGGATGATATTTGTGTGTGTTTGTGGGGAGTAAGATTAACTCTTCCTATCTTCTGTGCTATGATTTTTGAAACAGGAACTAGGGAAGGTTTAAACCCCCTCAGAGTATGCAACTCCCAAGGAGCAAGAGACCTGTGTCCAAGGCATTATCCACATACGTACATACTGCCTTGTATCCTATCCCTCCACTTCCTCAAGTCTGAAGGATTTATCCAACTCTAAACAACTGCTTCCAACAGAAGAGGCTCAGAAAGTGATGCTTCAAAGTTGGTTGAGTACAGGTGGAGGATACAACTGGTGCCTACCTGGCCATAGACTCCTACCTGAATCATCTCACCTTAATAACCGTGAAATAAAACTAAAAGAATTCCTTTGCAGATCAGGCCAAGCCTAGCAAGTCCAGCATCCTTTCCCTCCTTGCAAGGAGGCCATGAAAAAGTTAACTATCTCCTGTTATATTATCCTAACTGAAAAAGGATTAGATGTATTCCTGGAGATTTTTCAAATATGGTTAGTAATGGCAGTCATCTAAAACGAGCTATCATATTCAAAGGCAGCGTACCTCTGGGTACTGGCCAAAATATATACTACTTCATGGAGGGTAAGTCAATCTAATATTTTGTCCAGTTTGCTTTAAAAGCCATCAATCAATGACCATCTTCCTTAAGTTTAATTTGGTACTGTACAAATTTAACCTTTTGTCAGGCTTCAACCAACTAAAGGGGACCTCCACATTCAGAGGCAATAAAGCTATGAATACCGGAGCCAGGAGGCAACATCTGGGGAAGTTGTTAGCCTCTGTGCCCTGTTGTTGGCCCTCCAGAAGAACTGGTTGCTCAGTGTGTGATGCTGGACTAGACGGACCGCTGCTCTGATCCGGCAGGGCTCTTCTTCTGTTCTTAATTTCCATCCAACTTGACTGGGTTTCCCTGGTTCTAGCACTGCTAGGGGAAGGAAGATGTTCTCTCCAGTCATATGGAATTCTAGAAACCCCTGTCATGCTCCTAATTGGTGGGGCCCCCTCCTCCAAATTAAAAAACCATTAACTGTTTACCTTTTCGTCATACTAAGATTTACCAAGCCATTGATAGTTCCAGTGGCCTTTTGACAGCTTTCCTTATCTTTATTTGATGTGGTGATCACAACTGTGCATCGTGGTTTCTGTCCTGCCCCTCCACTCGGACAAACTGGAAGCCTTGGAGACTTCTTCCACCAGAAGAGGTTCAAATGTCCTCTTCCGTAAGAGGAGGGGGTCCTGGGCCGGAGGAAGGCTTCCTACTGAGCCAGATGGAGGGGCAGGAGACAGGCCAACCCATCAATCAATGATTTATTAGAGTCCTGGGCCAGCAGAATAAAACATACATTAGCAGAGTAGTCAGATAGCAGGCCTGTATTCTGTATGTAGCCACGCTGCATTGCCGTTGGACTTGCTGTACTTTTCTGAGAGGCCAGAAAGAAAATCCCTGAAAGGCCTGAAATGCATCTTCCTTCCGTTTCTAGTTTAGAAAGAAATTCATTCTGTCCTCTCAGGACTGGAGGATACAAAGGAGTAAATTCAAGTAATAACTAGAATCATAGAATCAGAGAGTTGGAAGGGGTCCTACGCAGGGCTCTTTGTTTGCAGGTACTCATTTGCATATTAAGCGACACACCCCTAATGTAGCCAATCCTCCAAGAGCTTACAGTAGCTCCTGTAAGAAGAGCTCTGTAAGCTCTTGGAGGATTGGCTACATTAGGGGTGTGTGGCCTAATATGCA